CCCCGGGGACTGAAGCCAGGGGGAATGGAGGGAAAGTGCTGCACAGATTTAAAGCGAAGCGTCTGTCTAGCCCTGCTGGCCGCTCTTCCCGCCCCACTAAGCACACTCCCCCTCCCTCTCATGGGTCCGCCCACAGTGGGCAGCCCACTGAGTTCTGCAGGCTCTCTCTGTCTCTTTTGATATGTGCCTGCCACCAACAGGCTGCTCAGCAGAGCCTGCCTGCTGGGGCCGCCTCTCACCGCCATTTGAAGCCACATTTTGGCCTAAAGCCCTGAAACCTCTTTTCAGGAAGAAAGCACGGAGCCTCCCAATTTCATTTTGTTTTCTTCCTGCTTGTTCAAACAATCATATAAAATAAAAATACCATCCTCGGGCAAAGAGAATTTAAATCAAACATTCTGAAGAACAGAGCCTTTCCCTCACAAACAAAACAAAACAAAACAAAAACAACAAACCTGCTTCATTTTTGGTTTTCTCTAGCTATATAAAGAAGAAGAAAAAATGAAAAGAAGCAGGGACGACTTACAGGAAAGAGAATGCTCACCTGCTGAGCACATGTGAGTGAGAACAGGCAAGGCATTACCTTGTCTCACTGTCCTCTCCACAACCCAGGGCGGGGCGGGGCAGGGCTGTCGCACTGAGGCTAAGGCGACTATAAGTATCAGCAGTCTTCCTCCAGGACCACAGTGTCTCTGTACTACTAGAGCTGTTATCCACATAACTCTCGTCAGTATGGGATGTGCAGAAAGGAGACAGCAGTTAGACTTGCTTGTTCTGTACCTCCGTTGTCTGTGTATCAAGCCTCGGGCTCACAATACTTGGGTCACAGTTGTGGTTCATGATATATGCCAATGACTGAGTCATGCCTGGCACGCTCGATGTGACTTGTCACTGGTTCTTACTACTGTAACAAGCACCCCACCAAGACCACCCCTCAGTTTGAGAACTCTACCTTTTTGGTCTTCCTCACCCATCCTCGTGACTCCTCCATCAGAGGCCATCATTATTCTGAGTTTTTATTTGTTACTTCTTTGATTTCCTTTTTATATATATCATGCTATAATAACTTATAAGTGCATTTTTTAAATTGTGGCAGATACATGCGTAACAAGACATTGGCCATTTTAACATTCTTCAATGGGAAAATTCTGTGACCTTTATTATGTTTATCATGTTGTCCAGTTATTCCCATTATCCATTCCCAAATACCTACTTCAATCGCCCTCAGCAGAAGCCCGAGTCCCCTAAACAGTTTCCCCTTTCTTATCTCTCTCCCTTTGACCCTGTTCGTCACTATTAAATGTTGGTCTCTATATGTTTGCTTAGATAATCTCTGTAAGTGACATCACATAGTAAGTGTCCCTTTACCACTTAATATAATGCTTTCAATATCTGTCCATGTCACAGCATGCACCAGACCTTCACTTCTCTTTATGGATGGGCAGTATTCCACTGGATATACACATTTCATTTATCGACATAATATCTATAAATTTTAAAATTATAAGCTGTGCTTCACGATGTAGGTAATCTTGCAGACATTTTGTCACTTATGTTCAAGACTTTGCAATCATGGGTAAGAATGTTAAGTCTAGCCATGGCTATCTGGCGGAGAGAAGCCGAAGAAAGGGCATGAAGACATATGCCCCACTTCTGCTTACACGCTCCATGCCTCTCTGAGGCCCAGACTGCTGTAGCCTGAGCTGGTCTTGTTGACCTTCTCTCTGTGAAGCCTCCCTCCCTCGTGACACTCAAGAACACAACCCCCCAGTATTCCTTAAACTTTCTGAGGGTGCCCTTCCCTGAGAGCTGGAGCCAGCTGCTCCACTCTGCTCAGGCCAAGTCTCAGCTTGAATGTCACCTCCTCTAGCCTTTTGCCCTAACAGGCATTATGCCACCCTGGTATCATTTATAACTTGTCTTCCTCATCAACCAGCAGGACACCTGGTATACACAGAACTGTACAATTAGTGCTAAGTTCTCAGAAGACCATTAGCAGTCCCCTAGGTCCTTTAAGGGGTATGGAACGCAAAATAATTTTCATAATACCTCTTGGAATACCAACAAACACCCAATTTCCCATAAGAATGTCCTAGAAAACGCAATAAGAATGATTAACTTTACTAAATGGTAACCACTCAACATACATGTCATTTTTGTATTCTGCAGCCTCAAAGGACAAAGTACTTCTACTACAATGCC